ACACACACACACACACACACACTCACTCATACATACACAGTCTCTCTCTCACACACTCTCTGTTTTATGTCCTGTGTCCTTTAATATCTCTCCACCACCACCAAGAACAAATAAATTAATAAATCGCCTTTTTGGCATCTCATGCACATGCTTACACACAGACACACAAACACACACACACAGCACAGGCGCACATACACACATACACACACACACACACACACACATACACACACACACACACACACACACCACACTTACACGCAAACAAACAAACAAACAACGACTAGGTCTGTGGACGGCCGATCTGACCATCATCCAACTCTTCCTGGAAAGCGTCCGGCCCACAGAACGTGGAATCGTCAACGGTTTCCAGAGCTCTCTCAACCAGCTTATGGACTTCTTCAAGTACGCCCTCGTCGTGGCCATACCGTACCCTCCGCAGTTTTGGTTGCTCATCCTCATCTCCTTCACCTTCATCTGCAGCGGGTGGACGTGCATGTCGGTGTACGCCCTCAAGTCGTCCAGGAGGAAGACAGAAGAGAGCGGCGTTAGGCTAGAAAGGCATGCAAGACTTGAGAGAGAATCGGACAGGGTTTGATGGATGAAGCTTTACCGTGCAGTTCAGAGAATGAACTATCTGTAAGGGTTTTTAATTATGTAATATTTTTACTTGTATTGCAATACAAGATACCACTTACATAATAGCTTCTTAAAACTCATTAGACTTTCAATCCTCTTGAGCCATAGGCAGAGATAACATTTTGTTTACAAAGTTAGAATTTTCCATATGTAATATTTGTCACTTCAGGGCAGCATGTAATGTATTATATGAGATTCGCAATGGTCTATTCTATTGATTTTTCCTGAATCATAGTCAGAAAAAGCATTTAGCCCGACTAAGACTTATATCAACAAACGGTTAATTCGTGGTTGATTTTGATATAACATAGCATTTGTGATCATTTTCATGTTATGAGTTTTATATTATGAAATCTTAGTCATAGAAAATACTAGATAAGGGTCCGTTAAGGGAAGCTTTAACTGATGTGTAAGGCGTATTATAATATTTTCTTTAGACAATGAGACTTTTGCAGCATAAAGAAAGAGGGTTTTTTTAAAAAGTAAAAGACATTTCTATTAAATTGCCGAAACTTAGTAAGGCCTTACTACAATTATGATAAATGCATTTCAGGTCAGTTGAGTTAAGCATTTGCAGTTGTAGACATACACATATTTTTAAAAAGCTTTAACGCTTCTAATGGAGCAAAGGCAAGGATAGCTTCACGGTTGAGACAGATTATTATGCTTTCTATTTCTAAAATGTTATGGGACTTAAACTGGTGATCATTAAGTGATATAAGTCTTATTACATTCCATTTTAGCTGTAAGACAATTATTTAAAATCCCAGGCAGAGAAATTATGAACTATGATTGCACTCACTAACTGCAAAAAGTTATTAATGTCTATGCTTTTTGGTTCAGTTCTTGAAAGCACTTACTAAAATATAGGACATATAATACTAAACGTAGTTAAAGTTTTAACCACTCTGTTGGAAGGCAGTCAAAGAACGCATTTATTATAATTGAGAAAGGTTATAACATTTTTTTTAAAGTCATGGGACTTATTAGTATGCATCATAAGTCAAAGAAAGTATGAAGTATGATTGAGATTTAATTTTTGAATTGAGAAAGCGACCCCAAGGAAAAACTTAATTTACTTAATAATGATTTCTATGTATTAACGATCATTTCATATATGTATCTGATATGACAAACGATTTGTGATATTTGTAAATTAAAAATAATAAATATAGAATCACTATACAGAATTGCACAATTTCTGGAAGTAGTGATTGCACCGCATCAATGCCCGTATCGGCTCTTAGAATCCAGCACAACTGACTAGAAGTCGCTGTTTTTTTGCTGTTGGGTGGTTGTTGTTGTTGTTCGGTTGTTGTTGTTTTTTGTTGTTGTTGTTTTTTTCGATTGTTATTTTTTTTTAAATTCTGTTTTGTTTTGCTTTGTGGTTTTTTCCTCATGAGTTATAAGTATGATATGTTGCCTGTAATGCAGCTGTATCTTCTTATGTCAAACTTTTTTCTCAGCGTTGTAAGTACTACAAGCTTGTACACTGAAACCTGTCTTTCTCATGATGAAAAAGCTGGGTGGGTGTCTTGTGTCTTGTGGGCGGTGCTTGTGTCTTCATTTATCAAAAACGTCGCTGGTCTGTACTACATTACTGTATACTCTCATAATAATAATAGTCTTATTCTTTTCAAAACGTAATACATGCCTGTAGTTTGAAATACACACTCAGAGAGAGAGAGAGAGAGAGAGAGAGAGAGAGAGAGAGAGAGAGAGAGAGAGAGAGAG